ATCTGCAAGAACGGAGGTTCCAGGCGCTCACATTGGGCCCAGTTATGTGAATTAATTTTCCTAATTTTGTCGTATTCTGAGGCATCCCTGGATTCATTTAATAAATCAGAATGTGCGGCACAACTGCGACTGACCCTTTCACCACAGGACCGACTTCTGGTCATGTTATTTACTTATGCTTACAACGTCTTGGTTAGCGCGTTCAAAGGCCAGTATGTCTGCTCGCCTGGTTCAGCGCTTGAAAACCGCTTTTCTGATAGTTTGCGCGAAATGTATATATCAGATTGGCCTGAACCTCACGAAATCTTTAAACAGACAGCATTTTGATTGCGGATTTTCTCAGCCACCTTGTTCGGGAAACAAATCCCACATTGAAGTGTTAACTTTTTCCTTCTGCTTTTCATAATAAAATAGAATAGAATGCTCCTCGTATTAGAAATTTCAATTGTTTTTTTTGTTCAGTCTTCACTCCTTTTACCGACATATACTGCATTTTTGGGAAAATTATGATTTTAATACGTCCGAAAGGTTTGTTAATGTTGTTCCGCCCACTTTGTTCCTATTCTTTTTGTGTGTGATGATGTGAAGTGCTTTTATATCCAAAGCGCAATGAAAGTTTGGCGCCCCGCATGTCGTAAATTCGGGGCTATTTCTTGCCCCTGTTAGTGTCCACATGACTAAAAAATGAGCTTCTTATCACTTATAACTATTCCAAATAACTCAGGGAAGAGACGGTGATGTGCACTTATATGTTAAATTGTCATCAACAACTACTACTCATGTTATATGTTCATCTGAGGTACTTTTCAGTTGATTTTTTCGCATGCTTTGTCCAGTAAAGCCCGTTTCTCTGTTTTCACTGCAGTTTCACTCTGCACATAGAATATCGGACATCGCCACAGTCATCGGCCCTGCAATGGCTAGATGCTGCAATGACCGCCGACAAACAAAAACCCTTCCTCTTCACCCAATGCCAGTCCATTCACGCCCGAAGCCTCTTCCCCTGTCAGGATACACCAAGAGTGAAATTTTCATTCAACGCTACTGTGAGTCCTGAAATTCGTGACGGATTGATCGAATGCAGTGCCTTTGTTCACTAATCTAAAGAATTGCAC